ACATATTCATCCGCAAAAGGTAATTGGGGCAATAATGACTTTTAAGTCTGATGTTGGGCGCGCGCAGTTGAGATAAAAGCATTTTAAATACTCTGGTGATTAACACTGGCATTTGTTGGTGTTAATAAAGCAGCAGAAAGTGACTGACGGAGCAGACGCCGAAGCAATTGGCTTGCTCAGCCCGGCCCTTTCCAAATAGGTATCGTTTTAAATGGCGATTAAACTGGAATTAGGCGGCAACTGGTCGAGTCTGTGCACGTGAAACCAAACGAGGAGGAGTTTTGCACAAGAATAAAAGAAACTAGCAAATAATTAAACTCAACATAATTGAATCCCAAATGGGTACATTTTAAATCCAGTAAATAACTGATAAAAAATAAATAAATAAACCTAAGTGTTGTTAACAACGCTGCCAAATTTGAATGTTAAAAAAAAAAAAAAACATCCGCGATATTAGAATGAGGTTTCAAAATCATGAGAATGAAGCCACTCCCACTCCGCTTTCCAATGCTGTGGGGGTGTCTGTTGAAAAAGATGAAACCACGCCACACTCAAATGTTAACTGTCAATCAAATACCACGACTACTGCATAGAAAATGGATGCTACTTCATCTACCGTCTACCTTATGCCTCCACAAAACCAAAACAACAAGGCGCTCTAAAGCGGCCACACCAGTAGACTATCCGAAGGGAAGATGCATTTTCGAGGGGTTGGCATAGCTAGCGAACTGACTTCATGTCCCAATTGTCCAAAATCACAGCTGTTATTTATTTATATATATACATAGATAAAAAAATATATATATATATACACACATACACACACACACATATATTTAAAAAAAACAGCACGCCTGCCTCAGCCTGTCGGGCAGCTGAGGCAGATGCGGTGCTCCGAGCCCTTCAGGCAGAGCTGGATGTTCAGGCTTCACTAGACCTCCTCAGCAACACAGACGCACACCCAACACGCACGCACACACATTGCCAGAAGAAGTAGAACAGCCTCATTGAGCGGAGAAATGTGAAGAGGATTTAGGTTATGTGTCTCTAATTCTATGGAAGTACGCAGCTTAAGGCTTTGTGTGCGTGCGTGCGTGTGCGTGCGCGTGCGCACTGAACACTGGAAATGACGAAAATTGCCATGGCGTCAGCATTCGCTTGAGGTATGGTGTTGAAAAAGTGAAAACTTCAAAATGGCTTCCACCCCTATTTTCTTACTTTCCGTTTAGCGCCAACGTGCTGTACTTGGGCATCTATAAAACAGCTCTGTGGTTTGCATGCTGGCTACACAGCTATTGTATAAATGTATCCTTCACAGGCAAAATGAAACGTGAGCATTTCATACATTTCCATTTTCCCTCCATAGACAGCTCTCTGGTTTTCATCTTGGTTATACCTCTGGCTAAATGCATGACATTCCAAGTTAACTGTCCTGCCATCATCTCATCTTTCTCCTCAGCCCTTACAAGGTCCCTTGTCCTCATCTGCCTCACCAGGCTATCTGTGCACTTTCCAAGTGTCATTTGTAAAGGTTGGGGCCTAATTTGCAAAAACCAGGCGACCAGAGAAAGGCTGCCAAAAAAAACATCCAGCTGGCTTTTCCGAAAGGCTCCAAACTGTCACACAGGTAAGCACTCTAGCATAAAGATGCCGCTTCGAATGATGTAACGGGACCAGTGGGGGAGTCACGCATAACCACCGACTTCCTCCTCCTGGTTAAATTATTCACCGTGTGACTCCATCTTATGTAATTTCGCGTGAGCAACCAAGGACACCAAAAATAGATGCCTGTTTAGTCTTTGTGTCAAGCTGACATTTTAATTTTTATTCGTTTTAGTCTTGCTCGGATTCTTTTTAGTCCAGTAAAATTCTGAGCATTTTAGTCTTATTCTTATTTTAGTCAGGATTGTCCATGACTATTTCAGTCTAGTTTTAGTCAGTGAACTGATGATATTTCAGCAGAGGTGGCAAATTCAGGTCCAGAAAGTTAAAACCACAGTTTGGCTTGAGCCACAGATAGTGGGGGAGGCATTTGCCAGAAATTCCATCTTCTTCTGATAAAAAAAAAAAAATATATATATATATATATATATATATATACATACACTGTATCGCTCATCAGGACTTAGGGAAAGGGGTTGCCACCCAGAGAACAGAAATAACATGACATGCATGGGATTTCATGATGTAGCATACGTACTTTTTTATTTTGCAAATCACATTAGTCTCGTTTTAATTTGTCAACAATATGACATGATAGATTTAGGTCCCGTTATGAACACATGACCAACAATTTGCATCTCGTCTCCCTTATGTGATTAAAGTCTCGTTGACGACATTTTGTCCTCACTTTTGTTGATGAGAGCAATAGTGATGATAGCCAAGTATCCAGAAATGGGGAAAACAAAAGTACAATCTGCAGTTTATGATGGTTGAACACTGGTTATGAGTCATATTAGTCGTGTAGGCTATAGCATTCCCTCAAGCTTTGAACATTATGTAAATCTCCAGTGTCAAGAGTACATGCTAGGACACGCATGCAGACACTACTGTTCAAAAGTTTGATGCTCACTTAAAAAATGTCCATCTCGTGTTTGTTAACAGTTTGGTATAAAACTAACAAAATGAAGCAGAGCAAGGATTTTTTTTTCATGATGGGAAACAGCATGGGTCTGCCAGAGCCATTTATTTGTTTACAGTGGATTGACACACCTATTGTCTGTCAGAGTGACGTCCACTATTTGAGGAAATACATGAAATACTGTAGCTCCAATTTGCACAAATCCCTCTTACACTCTATGAGGAAACACAAGGTCAAGATCCAATGCCACAAATAAAGGCCAAAATCAAACAATTGGCAGTCCAACCGGTGCTCGAGGTGTTGCGTACAACGTGTTTAGTTATTATTACTGTACCTCCATTTGGGTGATGTTTGCACCCGTGGCGATTATGAGTTTAGCAAGTGTCAGGGGGGAACCCCAGCAAGCGCACTTAATTTTCCTCTTGACTTCACTATTCTAATCCCACAACGAATTTGACATGCAGCTATCTGCCGCCCTTTATTTACCTGCCCTACATTACCACACAGTGAAGGCTGAGTGTGTGTGTGTGTATACCATGTTTCATGCTTGTCATACAGTATTTGTCCTGCAAAAATAAACAAGGAGTATACCAGCAGTGGAAGCGATATGGTCATGACATATAAAACAGTTAAAAGGAAGCTTAAACAGATTATCAGCGTTCGACGGGAATAAGAACAACGCATGCAAAATGATGCAAAAAACACGCACTCCGATCCAGGATGGGGAATGTGTGATGCCCACCCGCTACTACCAAGGACAGCTGCCGAAGCGCGGCGAGGAAGCTGACAGCCATAACAACCGCACACGCTCCGGCCCCGCAAATGACAGCTCTCTTACCGCATGAATGAGTCGCCACAGCCCGGATCGAGCCAAGCCGAACCCCGATTGTTCGGACACATTAGGCCGAAGAGAGCTTCGCCCTTCCCGGCGGCGAATGTTCGCTTTCTCCGCTTTTCTCCTCCACCACCATCAACCTACCATTGACTACACTCGCTCAAAATAGAATCCAAACACACGCCGGCACTCACCTGCTCGTCGCCGAGTGGAAGAGCTCACATGTCCCGTGGCTTTCTCCGGTTCTCTCCTATGCGATTGTGGCGAGAGAGGAGTCGGGTAGCGTTACGTGTGAGCCAACGGCGCCATGTTGAGTCTCCGGGAGCAGTTCTCCTGCTGTGCGCCACATCCGGGCCGCTCGGAGAAGCGAATTAGTGGCCGGAGTGGGGCGTTGAGCACCGTGGGAGAAAGTGTCGGTGCACCTGTGTTAGCCCCGAGGATAAACTCACCCTCTCGATCATTGAGAAGCCTCCTTCCCTAAGTGTAAATGCGGGTTGTTGCCGTCATGTCGTCAGCAGCTCCTGTAGTGCTTGTGTTAGCGCTGCTAACGCTCCATTCCAATTACATTAACGACACATACCGGGTTTAGTGCTGACGTCACTGTTGATTTGCATGCACAGGTTCGAGAGTTGAGCTTTGATAACCTTAAAATGTACAATTTGACTCAACAGGGCCGTCATACTTCAGCTTTAAAATGACATTTGGCTCAAACCGGAGTGTAAAAAACGACAGAAAGCGTTTAAAAGTGAAGCAGTTTGATCGCGTGACGTCATAGAAAAAGATGACGGCGCCATCTCGTGGTGTATTGTGAAAGTGCGGCTAAAACGGAACCTACTGAGGCGAAAAAAAAACCGCAACATAAAAATATATATACTGTATTTAAAAGATAGGATAGAATGGCAACTTTCGACACATTTTGCTAAAGTCATTCAAGTTATTTTCTGTACAATAATTTTTAAAATTTAATGTACATGTATCTTTGTATTCATTCGATTGTTTTACTCATTTCATGATCAGTTTAGCTTTTCTATTCTTTTAGGTTCTAATTTATTTGTTAATATTTTGTATTTAGATGTACATTTTGATGAAGTGTTCATTTTTTGCTTATTCATTTTATGCAGAGAGGTCGTTTTTAATTTGTTCTGTGATTTTAATATGTATTCTATTTCTATTTCAACATGTTTGTTTTACTCATCTAATGTTCCTATTTACATATTATATTTACCTCTACTGCCTTTTTTTAAAATAACCATTTCATGTTCCTCATTCAAAATCAATGATAATGCATCTGCTTGTTTTTATACAATTAAAGGTCACCCAGTAAACATCATGTTGAAGAATTCCAAGATTCGCTGTAATTTAGGACTTTTTTGTTAGTGTGTTGGCTAATCTAATAAGGATGCCCGCAGACAAACCACTGCCATTGTCAAATCCTGAGTGTTATTCGTCATGTTGTTACCTGAAGATTTATTGCAAACGTATATGGAAGCAAGCGCTTGTCTCACTTGATATGGTCAAATCACATTTCGCTGTAAGTTACTTTAGTTGTTGCCATGCCAACGGTGACTTGTGAGAATTAAATGTCAATGAAATGAAAAGACACAAAAACAAAAATTGCACTGTAACGATTAATGACTGAAAGTTGCACACAAATAAACCCTGGTGGAGGTAATCAGCACATTAGAAATATTTATTTTATTTAAGGGAACCCTGCTTGGATAGTAACGTCATCTGTTTTTTCAGGGGCGGGAGATTTAATAGATGCGTTGAGGTAAAAATGCACTTACGTGTTATGTTCATGTGTCACACTACCGGGGCACTGCTGAAAAGTGGGCATGTCCAGTGAGTGAGCATGTTTTCGTGTATATAAAGTAGATTTTAGTTCTGCCTGCTTGACTGCTCCCAGCCAACTAAAAGGCATAAGCAAGTACACAGCAGCCTGCCACCACCTCCAACACCACAGGTAAGCGTTTGTTACATACTTTTGAGTATTTTGCTATAGACCTTGATGCTCAATGACAAGGTCATTAAAATATAGTCATTTAATATTATATAGATGAAGATACATGGTAAAATACTGAGATGACTGAATCAGAACTGTTTTGCTTACCTTATTTCCGCACACAAGAGGGTTGAAATATTAAAAAGAGTTGCCTCTGGTATGGCTGACAACCAACGCAAACTATATTGAACATAATATATGAAAAGCTCAAAAATATATCAGCCAACCTGTCATAAAGAGACCATCCAGTATCACGAAGTGCTGCTTTAATATGGGCTAAAAGAATAATAATAATGTGATAATAAAAAACTTCTGTCCCAGCAAGGGAATTTGTAACGTTAACAAGTAAGCATTTTTATTATGATAGGATTGAAACAAAAAAGTCTTACATATGTAAATGTAAATCTAATATGCTGTACAAAGAAAATAGTTTTTAAATATCATTTAAATAGTCAAAAATATTGAAAATATATTGGCAACAAAACGTAATAAGTTTGTAAAAAACAAATAATTTGTTTAAAAAGCTTTAAAAAATGCATGGAACAATAATTGGATTTTAGCTTTAAAAACTATTTCAATCACGTTGCTTTATTAAAATCCAAAAACATATTTTGGCAGTTTCCTACGCTGTTATTTTAGGCGAGCTAGGGTAATGTCCTAATCTCTGTATTTATGTATCTTTTTGCTTTATACGTACATACTTGAACCCTAATTTAATTAGCAGTCACAAGGGCAAACAATGTGCTGAAGTCAGGACACTCACATTGTTGACTTGTCCTCACACTCAATGATCCTCTGTGTCATCTGTGTGAGTCACCGTCCTTCCTCAAGTCATCAGTTCATTTCGGACTCTTAGTGCCACCACAGCAACATTCAGTCAACTTGGGGAAATAGGCGAGCTCACATTGTCAATCGCATTGACGGCACCTACGAACAAGTTAGTCTTTGATAAATGTTCTCTTTCATTTACATTAAGAGTTCAAGATTATTGAATCTACAATCCATCTCACACAATTCAGGATCTTTGAGGAGCCGCTTATGTTTTTTTGTTGAAATATCAGATTGCACTCCGTCAAACCTCACGTTAACATTTTTTGCAAACACTGAAGGCAGACTTTTCAGCGTACCTAACGTCAACCTAGTGGTGTTTGTGTAAAAATTACCGACTGTTGTTGAAATTTTTACGCAGATTTTTTTGGAGCGGCTTGTTTTGCCCAGGCAGCATGGACGTAAGTAGCTCCCCACAGTATCAGATGCAAGCACAGGTAAGAATATTTGCTTTTTTCCTGTATCTTAACATGAATGTTGATGCTTGTGTCAATGTCGCACCGTCAAGTTGGTGTCCTCCATACTGTCAACCCTCTCTCTGCCTCGTATCTCCATCCTGGCCCCTGACCCTCCACCCTCCTCACCCTCTCCTCCTCCTCTACCTCCTTCCCCCCTTCAGCATGCTGACGTTCTGTGTGGCAGCTGCCCCCCTGGTTCTGCCCCACAGACTAGCGCCCTTTGGCCGGGCCAGACGCCTGGGACCGGCTTCCCCAGCTGGCCTGCGCAGGCCACCCAGCAGATATTGCCCACCCAGCAGCAGGTCCAGCCCACCCAGCAGGTCCGGCTACATAGTTCAGCCTATAATTTTAATGATGTCAGCATTAAAACGACATCAAAATGCATGTATTTGTTGCGTTCATGTTTCAGGCCTCGCAACCTGCACCGTGCTGGACCGGGCAGCCTAACACTCCATGCTGGTTGGGGACTCAACCGTTGCCCGTCTCTGGACCCAGCCCTCTTCCGGTCCCACCTCAGATCGTAACACCCTCGCCTGCCCCACCTGCAAGCATGATCCCTGCTTCAGCTCCGGCTCCGACCGTGGCTCCGGCTCCGAGTCAAATCTGCCAGCCTTGTTGGCCTGGCCAGTACCAGCCTGCCCAACCTCCGGTTCAGGCTCAGGTACCCTTTCAGGTCCCGGCTTTATCTCCAGTTCCTGTTCCAGCACCCGCTCCCGTTTCTGCCCCTGCTCATGCTCTATCTCCGAGCCTCCATCCATCTTTGCCAACATGGACTGCCCATCCTGGTTGGCCTTACAACCCCGGACAGCCAGGATGGCCCGGACAGAACCCGGCCCTGATGCCGAAACACTGGCTGCCGCCAACGTCAGGACCACTAGTAAGTAACAACGCAGAAAAAATGATGAGTGACTTCCGTAATAATGCTTTTGTTCTTGGTTCGGTTTTGACGTTTAGAGCGTACCATACAATCTAAACCTGGCTCGAGGTGTCTACGACAAGATGATGATGACCATTCTGGGCCAGATAAAACCTAATGCGAAAATGTAAGTACTCCAGGGGAGGATTACCACACTCTGAAAAGTGCTGGGTTCAAAGTAACCCATATTGGGTGAAATAGCCAGGCCAGCGCTGGGTCCAAATGGAAACGAGCCAATGCTCCACTATATTTATACCCAGTGTATTAGGTTGAGGATTTCACCTGGTACGTTGGGTCAAGATTTTGATCCAACAAGGGGTAAATACTATCAATGCAGATGAGTTAAAGCTAACAAGAAACTGGTTACCAAGTTATTAGTAGGCCCCCCAAGAATCTCCTAAAAAGACACAAAGCGCCACTTATCCTCTCAAATTTCAATCATTTAAGGTATTCATCAAACGATATTTTCATAGGTTCACTATAAACTTCCTACGAGGCAATGACATCGCCTTCCACATCAACCCTCGCTTCGGTGAAGGGGGAAAGCAAGTGTTGGTGCGTAATCACAAGGTGGGCGAGCATTGGGGTCCGGAGGAGAGGGACCTGAAGGGACCCTTCCCCTTTGCCCTGGGGAGCCCCTTTGAGGTGAGCTAAAGGATGAGTTGCAACACCACCTGGTCTGCACATGAGCTCAGACACATGACGCCCTTGACTGACTCCAGGTGACCTCTCCTCGGGTTGAATGTCAGGCTAACGTTTGGCTGAAAAGATGGAAAGGGTTGGAAAGGCGATTGGGAAAGCTGATCCTAGATCAGGGAAGTGACGCCCCACAGGGAGACTCCTGGAGGTCAGTCGCGGTCTCGTGTTGTTGCTCAATAGCCTCACTAACCAAAATAAAAAAAGTACAATGGATCCGCCAAAGTCAACGACATAAACGATTAGGACTTCGACTAACCTCATCTATCTATGCAATTGTCTACTAAAACAATTTCGAGCTTTTAGGCCTACTGTATGTGTTTTTTCGAGCTTTTAGGCTTACTGTGCGTGTTTCCATGAATATCAAAGACAATTTAGCGTTAAAGAGAACAGGTTTCAAAATAGTGGCATCAGCTGGACCAGGTGGGGTACTTCTACAGTTGCTCCTAAAGTAAAATGCTCACTGATCGTGTGTGTGTGTGTGTGTGTGTGTGTGTGTGTGTGTGTGTGTGTGTGTGTGTGTGTGTGTGCGCATGCGTTTCAGATGAAGATCTTGTGCACACAGGACTCGTTCCGCGTGGCGGTCAACAACATTCCGTTGTTTGAATTCCGCCACCGTGTCCGCGAGCTCAACCAGATCAACAGAATCAACATCCTGCACGATGTCGTCCTCACTTTTGTCAATGTGGAGACACTTCCGTAGGACTGCCTCACAAATTTATCGATTAATGAACATAACACGATATTGACATTTCGTAAGTGTGATTAAATGTGTTACACGCTCCTTCACCACTAAAGCCACACTAATATTGATGAATGTATACGCATTATATTTAAACAGCTTTGTTTTCAACGTGTGCATTCGACCACTTATGAATTTGTATGAATGTTTTTTAAACCATTAAATAGCCTCCAACAGAATGTTGAGGTTTCTCTCAATTTTTGATTTTCAAATGTAAATTTAATATGCTCATTTATACGTTGGTACCAGTTAACAATTAACATTTCAGTTGAATAATCGTTTATCATAATCGGCATTAAAAAGAAATCCCTATCAGCTGGGGCTTTTTATAATTACGTTTATTTCTTTTTTTATATTTATAATTTATATGCACAATGGTCTACCAATAGGTTAATATACCATCAGTATATTCTATCAGTATAAATTTATGACACGTCTGTGCGATGTGAATGTTTCATTTGCCATCATCGGGGTGATGCTATTTTTTTTTTTTTGATATATTGTGCAGCCCTAAATGTTATGCAACATTAAAAATTTATCCTAAATATAAACAAAAACACAAAGAAATAAATTAATCCATTTTTTTCCCATTTCATGGACTTTATATGTACAATGCACATAGAAACAATCATCAAACACACAACATCAAAAATGTTGCACAATTTATAATATATATTATTTTTTTTCACAATTAAGTTTCTGATTGTTATATTTACTTTTAGCTAAGTTCAGGAATGGGCAGCGAGCGGCCCACGATTGTCAACTCCCACATACTTGCAGGCCGGCACCTGTGGATTCCCCTAGTTGCGCATTTGTTTTAAATCCTTTTTTTGTTTTTTGGTTTTTTTTTTGTAGGGTAGCCAACCGCCTTTTTTTGTGGAAAACAGAAACTGGTTTTCTGAATTTGTATTGTAGACTGTATTGTTTTAAAAAGACAATTTCAACATGTAAAAAACAAGCGAAAAAGAGCTAAGGCAACAACTGTCGTTTAGAAAATTAGAGCAACCATCGGCGTTTTGAAAATAGAAGCTCGCCCTCTGTTTCACATCTTGCTCTCCAGCTTTCTCTCCACTGACTTGAGCAAGAGCTCTGCATACTGCTCCAACAGAGCCAGGGCTTTGTCACCTTCACCTTTGACCTCTGAGCCCCAGGGGGCACTGTTGGGTGGCCAGGAACTCGGCAACAGGTCCAGCTCGGCCTTGGTCGACGTCAACGCCCCAGACAAAACCTTCACCATCTCCTGACAGACTTCTTCTCCGCAGTCCGGAGAGCTGTGGAGCACCTGATGTAAACAGAAATAAGTGAGAAGGAAAACCTACAGTGGTCACAGAAATAACATGCATCTGACAATAGTGTGAATAAATAAAAACTGAATCGATGGGAATCAATTGTGGTTCAAAAGAATTCTTTAGATATGAGAATTACTTAGATATAGATTTATATTATTTCGATTTTATTATTTCGAAATCAATTTTCACCACCATCACCATCCCCCACTTTTTTCCGAGTGGCACTAAACAGCTTGAAGCCTCTTTGAGGAATTGTAACCGCCATATCTGCCAAACTGCTGAATGTTGTGAATTGAGTTGAGTCACTGTCTCATCATACAGCAACAAAATCAGCCAACCGCCGGCTTCCATCTTCAAACATTCTCTCAGGGCATCACACGATAAACACACACTGACCTCGGTGTAGAGCGTGACGGTTCGCCTCAGACTGCAATGAAGCTCACTTGCGGCCTGCTTGCACACTTCCAAAGTAATGGAATCACCTGCGGAGTAAACACGAGTAAAAATATAGCGAATGGAACATTATAACGACACACACATTTTCAAGCTGCGTCTGTGCACACTGTTGTGAAAAAGTGAAGAGTTGACGAATGGAACATTATAACGACACACACACACATTTTCAAGCTACGTCTGTGCACACTGTTGTGAAAAAGTGAAGAGTTGTCCTCAAGAGAATACAAACAACCCAATAATTGTTGCCTGCATTGCAAGTACACTCACCGGCATGGCACTGCCGGGAGGCCATCGGAGACAGAGAGGTCGAAACGCAAGCTTGCGGCGGCCAGTGCGAAGCAGAGTGACGACGAAAAGGACGAAGAGGAGTAGGAGGTCGAAGGAATGGAAACGGAGAGCTCGGAAACGACAGGTCGGCGGGAGGAGAAAGACCTGAATGTGTGAGTGGATGTTCCACCACCACGGGGAGCACTTCAGGCGACGAGCCTTCGGAAGTCGACACTTTGTTCTTCTCTGCTGAACCTTACACATAAAAGAAGAAACATAGATTCAAAAAAAAGGAACAAATCCGTGTTGTGGTCCCGGCAGCCACATTTCCTGAAACAGAGGGCGCTGTGGGATTTGGGGCATTTATTTCCCTTTGCCAGTATATTCTTGGCCCACTCGCTACGTTCGGAGGAGGTCCCTCGCGTTCATCAGGTTTCTACTGACGAAATATGGCAGCTGACTAAGGAAGTGGACTTCCACAGCAATAACGGTTTGCCCATCCCATCCCCCCCTCGTTGTCTCAGAACCGTCCCGTTTTGCCTGCGGTGGGCTGAAATGGAGCTGCAGAGCCCGTCGGGAAGAACATATTGTAAACGTTGCCTTACCTGTGTAGGATGCGACCTCACACGCTGGTCCCACGGTGGGAGAGGAAGCTTTTGTTGGACTTCCCTGACAAAAGGAGCCAGCTTTCAGCTCCAAGCTGCGTCGAGGGCTGAGAGGCTGCTTGGGCTGAGGGATTCGAGAGGACGTCGGCGTGACGGCAGCGAGGGGATGCCAAGACGTCTCTACTACGTCCAGATCCCCCCAGGACCTACGGGCCTTGGGGAAGTGGGGGAGGTCGAGGCCGATGTGGACGCCCTCACCCACGGATAATGAGCGGCTGCTTTTGGCCATGGAGCTGGCTGTGGGGTTCATGTAGGAGCAAGGAGACTGCGGCGAACCTGGCGAGGGCGAAGACGCGCGCGCCGACGAGGCTTTGAGAGGGCCTCGGTCCAGGAGGAGATACTGGGGTCTTTTGCCCGATTCCTTATTCTCACAGGGCAGCGGAGATCGCGGAGCTGTGGGGAGGAGTCAGTAGTTTTTTTAAAACTTCAATGTAAATGCGGTATACTGTTATGGAATCGCAGTGGAAAGGTAACGTACAGGCGATGGTGAGGTTCTGAACGGACTGGGACTTATGCAGACTGGCGTTTCTGTCAGGCAGCGGAGGTTTGGATGGCGGCGTGGAGAATCTCCAAATGTGGGACCCCAATGTGGTCTTCTTCTGGGGTCTCAGGATGACTGTGGAGTCTGTGACGAGCCTAGTGAGACAAAAAATATAGAATAATAAGAATCAGAATAATCAGAATTGACTAAATGCCACTTTTGAATTCACCATCTGGTGATATCTTACTTTGGCCCCTGGGAGACGCTCGGGGACACAGGGCTCTTGTCCTCTGTGGTACTGCTTTGCTCGTTTTCCATCAAGGGGCGCACTTTGGAAACAGGAGGCTTGTGGGAGAGCCCGTGGCCTGCTTTGGAAAACAGAGGCTCTCGCCTGCACGCACATGAGCAAAGTATAATGTGAACTGTCTTGGGGGGGGCAAATCACTTTCTGAAAGTGGTGCTTAAGATGAACTGTGAGACTTTTTTTTTTTGTATGAATTGTTTAACTTAGAATCTGTTGTCTCTCAATTTTGACAAATGTCTTGAATTTTTACTTCATTTTTGTTTTTTTTAGCAAATTCAACCCTTGAGGGCGAGACACTGTGCCTGTCATATTGAAACGCATAATAAAAGCAGGTGTCCAATGGTCTTTCACAACAATGTAGTTCAAATGTATATGTTATTAGACTCGACCTGTACCTCCTTGAAGTGGTGCTACGTACCTGCTGTGATCTCCTCTGGCCAGGAAGCGTGAAGAAATGCTGAGCCTCAGGACTCTGCTCAGCTCGGCTGCAAGTGGCACAACAACGACATCAAACAATAACCTAGAAAAATCCAGAAGCATTAAGATCATCCTACCTGGGTTGCAGGCGTCCGCCAGTGTCTCAAAATTCTGCCTGAGGAAATCTTCTTGTCCGGCCTCGTCCACAATGGCCGCCTTTGCCTTTGCTCCCTCTTCTTGCTCATCCTCCGAGCTGCCCGGGCTAAGGGACGCGTTGTCTGCAGAATCTGTTGATACTTGTTTTTAGGCTGAGCTTCACGCAAGAGTTCCTTCTAATTTTACAAGTCTTACCATGCAGGATGCCATCGGGACTGGTTCCTCGGCTGTCATAGCCCATCGAGCAGGCGCTGTCCGGGCTATAGCTGTCCTGGCTCTGTCTGTGCACCTGACGCTTCCTGTGAAGCGAATCGATTTGTGGGTGTCAATATGTTGGATGCTGCTTTTGGCGGCATTATGAGATTGTGTACAAACATGATTGTACCTATCTTGTAGAGCCGCATCATCTTCGTCATCCTCCCTCACCACCCAGATCATTTCGGAACTCTCCGCGCCTTCAGGCGATAGCCAATCACAGCCGACGATAGGCTGACGTAAGTTTTTTTTATCGGGGCGATCCGAGCTCAGAACGGAGTCGTGGAGAACGGGGGTGCTACTGCATGCTTCCGTGTCGGCGTGATTGCTGGGAGTGAAGGTCTCCAGCTGCCTCAGTTCTAACATGGACTTAACCTTCAGCTCCAGAGAGCCCCTTCGATGAGACCAGCGACGGCGAGGACGACGACTGGCGACTGGCGTGGCTAAGTCGGGCTGGAAACAATATGGGGGGGGCTTTTAAGTAAGCAAAATATTAAATTCTTATTACAAATAATAAAATACAAATATATCAGTGCTTCTCAATTATTTTCTGTTATGCCCCCCTAGGAAGAAGAAAATATTGCGCCCGATCACTCTACCCCGAGACTTTAAAAAGTATCATTTATCAATAAAATTGTTAACACTAACATTGTCCCCTTATTAACACTCAAGAAAACAAAAAAAGGAATACGCCATTACAATGAGCGCGCCATTGCCACCTATTGTTGTGGATGCGCAATTACATTTGATTCTAGTACCCCCCCCCACCCACCAAAGTATGTTAGCCCATGAAAAGATTATACAGTAAGATGCTCCAAAAAGATTCAGTGAAGAAGTGCCTGCCACTTACTTTTGCTGGCTCCCAGTAAGGTGCTTCTTCCGAGCCGCACGCGTCATCTTCTCCGTGGCTGCTGTCAGTGAACGCGTTGTTACTGGAGTCGTCTTCGCGGCCATCGGAGTCTCGGTGGACGGCGCCGTCCTCGTCGTCGCGCTCGCTGTCTGAGGAGAGCCCCACCAGAGCAGGAGCGCTGTGCACCTCTCGCCTGCCCATCAATTGTCAAAAATGAAAATCAAGAGTTGGCGGAATCTGGGGGAAAAAGAGGGACGAGAAGGTGAGGTCACCTGAAGCCGGCACTCTTGAGTGGCTGTCGGAGCTGAAACAGCTTCTGTTGCATGCTTATGGTCAACTCTGGAGCCAGACGCCATACAAATATGCAGCTATGCCATGAAAACAAAAGAACAATGGGTTAGTACTGAGTCATTATTTTCACTGACAATGTTTTGTCCCATGTGGACTGAAATGACATCCTCACCTGTCCCCTGACACGCTGATCAAATGCTTGCAGTCGTTGGTGAACCTCAGACCAGTCACAATTTCTGAAACACGCAACAAGTGGGATGCACTGCTTGTCTTTGGCTATCTGCTGGTCTAATGAAACCAAATTTATGACCTCACATGGACAAATGCGGTGCTGTCCTGTACGACGACCATTTATGATGTATTCGAACCTTGTCTTAACGTATCCCAATTACAATGTTTTCACCCCTATAACGTTCACATTCCTATGTGTCACCATGTCTTTTACCTGAATGGCCAAACATGGTGGCAACACACTCTCCAGTGCGAAAGTCAAAGATGCTGATGTTTTTGTTGGAGCAGCTAGCAGCCACGTACTGACCAGACGGATCTATTTGAACCTGCAACACCAAACACACACGCACGCACGCACACTTTATTTGGTCCACCATGCACAGGTAATCTCAGATCAGCAGCCCTTCTCACCCTAAGCAGGCTGCCGTCATCACAGAGTGATCCTCTGTACAGTTTCTTCTGTTTGCCATTGCTGATGTTGAAGATCCTGTTGATACAAAAACACCTGACCTTACACGCGCCCACGCACACACACACACACACACACACACACACATACACACACACACACACACACACACACACACACACACACACGCACACATATAAAATGTAAATATTACAATACATCCTGGCAGCCCACCGCCACGTGTTTGCAGCTGGGTTCCACGCCCATGTCGTACAGTGTGGTCTTCCTCACCGTGTGGTGAGAACACCTGAACTCCGTTCCTGTGTCGTTCTGCAAAAAAACATCATATATAAGATACACATGCAGGAAAATATTACACAGTATATTTTATATTTCACATTCATGTTACATACAAGCACATTCGGGTGCAGGATTCATGCAAAGTTTCTTTTTAGCAAGTTGGCAAAAAAAAAAAAGAAAAAAATTTTAGGTGCTGACGTGTCCCCCCCATTGCTGGATTTTGAGCATTTTCTTTGGGAGTGTGTCCTCTTTCTTTTTGTAAAAAAACAAACAAAAAACAAAAAAAAACAAAAAAACATTCATTTTCTCGTAGAAGAATAATGTGTATTTACCTCCGTTGGAACTGAGGGTTACCTCCTATATCTGTTGACAAACGTTCGAAGCGGTGTTGGCACTCATTAACCATGCTGTGCGATTATGAGGATGCTGGCTTTGGCTGTGCAAAGAGCTCCATAAATCTTAGTGGTGACTAACAAGCGGTTGTTTATCACGGCCCATAAAAGTTAACATTCACAGGCGGCGAATAAGAATGAGCACAAAAAACAAATGGACCCTGATTGGAAAAGGTTTGCTGGTCCACACTTTATGCTAAGCTACTTACGGCAGATTTAAGGTGAGGCACATGTATGTGAATGTGCGTGTCTGTGTGTGTGTGTGTGTGTGTGTGTGTGTGTGTGAGAGAGTGTGTGTGTGTGTGTGTGTGAGAGAGTGTGTGTACCTACCGTGTGTGCGGTGCGGAAATAGATGCTTTTATCTGCCCCACAACTGATCAACCTCACTTTGCCGTCAGTGGCTGTAAGGAAAAATTCAAATTGTTGTATGTTCACAGAATAAATCAAATTATGTATTATACACAATGTGGACAAAAGTATTGGGGCACAGTATTCCGTCAAAAGGCCTCTCATTAATAAGAATCCTATGATACGTTTTCTTTAATGTACTACAAATGGTGATTTTTTTTTCTGGTGTTCCAATAAGAAACAATAAAAAATGCCTATTAATGTAAACATAATCATTTTTTAAGTTATGATCCAACATGCGACGCTCGCATCATTGCTACTTGCAAACGTGACCAATCAAAAGATGACACGATTGATTGCTGCTTTCCTCCTGTCTGTGTTATGTCCCAATTCTTTTGTCCATACAGTATAAGATTAAGGCCCACGTGAGCACGCATAATCAATAGTTATGTATTATTTAAAGAAGCGGTGCGCACAAGGACTAAAGGGTCTCAGTAGGCTCACCGGCGAAGCGTACGGCCGTGATGGAGGACGAGTGCTCGTCCAGCGTTTGCACAAGGCTGTAGTCGGAGGTGGCATCCAGCACGTGAATTAGACGATCTCTGCTTGCCGTGGCCAAAAGTTGCAGACCTGCACGCGAACCAAACTATTCAATACGATGCAGAATTCACCTTGTTGTGTATCAGGATGGAAGAATGTAGGAATAAAAGTAGAATGGAAGGTGAAAGCGAAACAAGGATGGTCTGACAGGAAGAAATGACGGAAGGAAAGAAGGAAGGATTGACATTATACATGTGCGCTGTTGACCTGTTTGTGGTTTGCTGTATTCCAGACAGAGGATTTCAGCATCATGAGCTTCCACTTTAAGAATCTCCTCCATGCTGCTGAGGTTATGGATTCTGAACAGAACAACAAACAAGGCCAAGCTTCATCGACTGTATCAGAATTGTTTGTCACGATAGTAGGCACGCCTGTACAATTAAATGACAGCAAGCGGTGCTTTGAAATACAAATTCAATTCAGTCCGTGACCAATCCATTGTCACAAATCATCTTTCCCGCATTGAAAGAAATGACCTGAGAATTCCGTCGCGGTCTCCGGACGCCAAGTGTTTCCCATCTGGGCTGACACAGATAGTGCGGACGCCCACCCTGCTTTCCACCGGCTGTCCATCCGTGTTGGTCAGATTTTCTGCTTCCTGCAAGGCAGCCGTGCTCGTGCCCGTATAGATGATCTTGAGGAGGTCCTTTGACCACAACAACAACAAAGCAAAAGACATGAGCAGTTTTTAAAAAATTGTATTGTATGTTTTTTTTTTTTTTTTGTTTTTTTGTTTGTTTTTTTAATGAAGTCAAACTGACAGTGCTGAGGATGTTCCGAGAATGAACATGGGTGCGCTCATCCACGTGCCACAGTCTGATGGTGCTGTCGGACGAGCAGCTGAGAAATGCGCACACGGGCCGCACACTCGCCACCATCTCCCCAGGAATATCCGGAAACATCTGAGGGAGCATTTAGTCCACAATAGGATCTTGCGAACATAATAAAAAAATGTGTATAGAACAGCCTGTATGGGTCAATCAGGATTTATTTGTTGCTTTTTAAAAGAAAATATTTCCTGACTGTTTATGTATGCGGATGTATGTATTTGTAATGTTATTACGTTGGAATTGTATTGTAATGTTTTAGAGAATCCTTCTTTTTTTATTGTAATTGGATTTTTTATTTATTTTTTTTAATAGTCTATATACGCACCTCGGGAGGACAAGGAGAAAAAAAAGCATATTGAAACAATTCTTTTTCCTCTTTTTATTTTTATCACAGAATGCAGGTTAGCTTACCTCTAGGTCCCATACACAGGCGGCATGGAAGAGGGCAGAGTGGACCTTGGCCACCCGGGTGAGGTCGGTGACATCCCACACGAACACGCTGTGGTCGGCGTATACACAGCTTAGCCAGCGGCTGATGGGGTCGTATGTTACGGCCGTGGCGTCCGGGTAACGGGCATCCATCTGGCTGCAGAGTAAGTGACTGGAAGGAGAGACAGACGGGAAAGATCGCTCAGGGTTTTTGTCCACCTGTCGCTTTAATTGATGTCTAAAGTGATGTTGTGGGGGTAGGTATGTGTTTATGTGCTTGCCTGCGCTTCCTCACCTGGCTTGGGTGACGGACGCGACGTCTGCTCCGAGGGGGTGTGGTCGAGGCAGTGTGCAGACAAAACGTAGGTCTAGTGGGCTGAAGACTCGTACTGTTCCGTCAGCACAGCTGCAGAAGATCCGGTCCCAGGACAGAGACAGTGACTGAGCCACGCTGGTCTGAACAACACGGAGAAGAATAGGTCACTCATATAGTACAGTACAGTACTACTGTTTAGTGTTAGATACCAAATGAAGTGTGTGAAGTGTGTACTACACTTGAATACCTTATTGCAAATCGTTTTTACCTGCAGGTCCACCCACTTATCCAGCATCCTGTTGCCGTTGAACTCGCACAGCAGGCCAGAGAACGTGACGCAGAAGGTGGACTCGGACTTTTGGCCTCGTCCACAGGCCACGTCGCAGAAGAAGTTGTTCCTCAGCTCACCCAGCAGACCCGAACGGCCCAGCAAAGGCATCGGGGTGCTGGCCTAAAAACAAGACCAGCTCATGATTTGGCTCATTAGCCTCCAAATGTACCCTAACATATATTTTATAACCGATAGAGAGCCGTGATTCAGTGCTCGTGAACAAATGTCCAGCACAAGCGAACCGTGCCAGCGTTCGGCTAAATTGCTCTGCACACAAGTTCAGTTACTGCGGTCACAGCTGACCAGGTGAAGTGTACCGAAGAAGAGACACAAATTCAAGTGGGATTGAAAAAAAAAAATGTGATGACGAGGGAATAATGTGTGATTGGAATTAACTAAAAGAATAAATCAAATTAACAGTATTTTCACTGTTGACTGTATGATTAAAATGACCTAAAAGTATGATTTAAATAAACTCAAGAATAATTAATAGAGAACAATGCATTATTTAAAGATACAAAAGTATGACTGAAACTAATGTAAACTCAAGTGTGACTGAGAAGAAGTAAAGAATGGCTGAAACGAACATAATTCTGACTAAAACGTATTTAAGTATGGCCGAGATGAACTCAGGTGTAATTAATACAGACAAATGTAGGATTCAAATGTGCACAAGTCGAATTGAAACAAACTCAAGTGTGACTGATATGAACTCAAGTATGATTAAAACAAACTCCACTGTGTTACGGCAAACTCAAGTCCGATTTCGAGGTTTTATGATAAACCATCACAGTCATTAAATGCGAGGTTAGTATGCGAGTAGTACCTTACTGGCCTTGCAGTGGTCCAGATACCAGAACTTGACATGTCTGTTGCCCACGGTAACAAAGTAAGAGCTGTCCTCAGAGAATGACACGCCCGTTACCTTGCTGGACACCTTGTTGGCAGCGATGACCACATCCTTCTGCGATAAAAGGACCAACATGTTACAAACTCAAGTGCTCGTGCAGTATAAAGTAGGCAGTTGCACACATACTTTCCACGCCCAGACGTTAACCATCATGTCGTGCTGGTTGCCCACGCTGACGATGTGCTTGCCGTCGGGTGAGAACGCCACACAGGAGACGCCGTATTCATGCTTTTGGAGTTCAGACACCTGCCGGCGCTCCGACACGTCCCACAGTCGCACGGCGGGAAGGTGGCCGCTCTGTGGAAGCAATCGGTCCGAATGTTGAGTTGCTTTTTTTTTTATTTTTTTTAAGCAAACCAGTTCAGTTAAAGTCAAAATGACGATTAAATCGAAGAAGAGAATAGAACAGAAGAAGAAACCAAAAAAAAAGGCCATTCTCAAAACAAACTTAAGTATGATTAAAATGAACTCAAGTATATTATTTATATTATGTATAGCAGACATGATAGGGAAAAACAATAACCCACGATTAGCTTCAATTAAACTAAAGTATGGTTAAATCGGACTAAATTGATTTTTTTGTGATTTTCCTCTCATTTCTTTCCTTTTTTTTAAACTCTGTAGTATGGATCCCTCTGGGTCTGAAATAAAGAATAAATTAGGTCAAGTAAAGCAGCACTGGTGGTGCATGAAAACGTAATGGAGACTGTGGTGTTTTGTTCTGAGGTTTCAATGTCAAGGCAGAGTGTAGAGATTACTCTTTGGCTACACAGTTGCAAGACTTGTAACCCTCTCACATCTCTCTCTCTCTCTCTCTCTCTCTGTCGCTCGCTCTGTAAGGGATCACTGAGCTATTTCCACCACCTATCGTTTTAAAATGGCAAAGTCAAGGTCAGAGCTAATAGGTGAGATAGGTCGTCCAGCAAGGAGGACACCAGAAGAGTTGGCTCGCATATCGAGAAGACGGTACAATACAAGAGACACTATACTATAGTAACGTTTCCATCCATCATCTATCCCTCTATCCAGTTTTGAAAAAAAAATGCAGGTGTCTGTTACAATAGAAATACACTTGGGAAAATTCTTTTCAAATCCGAACAAATCAGACATTCGCAATCCACAATGAGTAAACCCTGCAAATATGCAAATGACTAAATAAAAGGTCTCTGTTTTCGAATTGGCCCAATTAAGAAGAATGCCGATGCAATAATCCCGTTTTATTAAGAGGCAAAACAGGGGCCAACTTGCTATCGAACTTTGCTCTGCTGTCACAATAACTGGCATACACCCATCCACTTCCACAGTGAAGTCCTTTAATCAGCTTTGATTGGCCCATTGGGACAGATTACGCTGGCACTTTGTTTCCAGAAGCCATAGATGCCAATCGGTGATCCTAAAACAGCCTATAGGAACACTGAATCCTTAATCGACCGGCATGTGCATGTGCACCTAAATCCTGCAGGGGATTTTCTCAATGAAACCACAGCATGAAGGATATTTTACGAGTTGCTGTGGTTGACTGTCAAGTTTTATTGACATTACATTTCTAAACATTTTTTCAACAGCTTTTATAAATCAATTTATTGTTAGTTGAATGAATAATTCATAGATGATGACTGACAAATTCTGCTCATGACATTTTTTCATGAATGCTTTTTTTGTCTGTTTGTGTCCTACAATAATATTGGCTTGAAACTAGTCCAGGCCATACCCTGCCTCTCACCCCAAAATCAGTTCGGATAGACGCCTGGGATGTTCCATTAGCGTGCAAATAAGATGTGCGCCTCACCTCGCCTGTGACCAGGTATTTGCCATCCTGAGAGAAGGACAGAGCCGTGATGGTCTTCCTGCAACGAGGAATATGCGATGTATCCATCATGCATTGACATTGCCGCCATTTCAATGTAAACCAGCTCACCTTGACGTGTTGATGAGGTGCTGCTGTCTGTTCTTTCTGGGGTTCAGCAATACCACAACACACCTACACAACGCACACACAATCAATACATGCAAAATAAAAAGAAAACATGCATGCAGCTTTATGTACTGGAATGGGACCAATGTGAGTAATCGCTGTTAAGCTGCTATTAGCTTTGTTCAGTGTACTGTTAAATAACAACTACAGGATGGATTATACGACACACACAAGAACAATAAAACGAACTAAAGTACAATTAAAGCACACTCAAATAAGAAAGAACTTGTGATTAACAAACTCAAGTGTTACAGAAACACGTTTGGATGAAATTAATAAAAGCATGATCAAAATGAACTCATGTGATTGAAACAAGTTTAAGTCTGATTGAAATGAACTAAAATATGATGGAAACAAACAAAAAAAACTAGAAAAAAAGTACATGTTGGTAAAGTTAAACTTTTGGGGGGGATGAAATCCATTTAAAAGAAAAACCTTTCAGCTATATATATATATATATTTTTTTTTTTTGCACCCTTCCTCACCCTGCAGGATAAGCCACCAGTCCAGTTTTGGGGTCACAGGCCAGGCAGCTGTTGCCCAAAGCAGTGATGCCTAGAACCTTTTCCAACGTAACCTACAAAGCAACATCAGTCAGTGTTTGGCGGAACATTGATATTAAGACCATTGAGTATTTTCAATTTCCCGAGAAACTTGGGACAAAATACCATTTAAATGTATCAAAATTCGGGTTTCGCAACAATAACAACATATATTAGATGAGCGCTGCCAAATTGCAGTAGAGCTCATAGGCACAAACTCCAGATGTCAACAAACTGGCTGATCATCTATCACTGTGTTGTTGTTCATTTATGTATACTTGCCTTGCTGGCCAGGTTGTCCCTACAGTCTTTCCCATGTTTGTCCGACGGCGAGCTCAGCAACTTCCTGATGCGGCTCTTGATGGTCAGTCCATCACCAGGCATGGTGACCCCGGGAACCTCCAGTGGTGGGCCTGGTAGTTGACTTCACGTTGCTGCAAAACGATCAATTCAACGTTTCCTTTCCAGAGTGAGGAAGGAGCGTCTCGCAAAGTGGGATAGCCTCCCTGCTGGCGGGACATGTGGATGCTTAATCTCCTGAGAACGGTTTAGCCGGAGGCCCGCCTGTCGCCTCAGCCCAAGCTCCAGGAGTTCCGCCTTGTGATTACATCAATGGTGGCGTTTGTGCCTAATTAATTGACTTGATTGGATTAAAAGGCAGGCAGAGAAAGAGAGCGAGAGAGAGAGAGAGAGAGAGAGAGAGAGAGAGAGAGAGAGAGAGAGAGAGAGAGAGAGAGAGGATGGAAGCTCTTTTTGCTTTGAGTTGACTGTTTTCTCAATTAATATAGTATGAATCTCGTGTCATTATTAGTATGAAAATTTGTCATTAGCATCGTGTTGCCATTTGTGGTTGCGCATTTACCAACGACTCAAAACAGATAAGCCAAGTATACAACATCGAATCAAACCACAAATGCTCTTGCTTTGAAAAACAGTATTACTTAAATCATGCATTGGGGTACAGGGTTAGGAACTCGTCGTCTACGGTAGGTTGGGGTCTGCCTTCATGCTGTAGGGATAAAACCTAAAGTATGATATTGTCAATTCCAAGAACCCTTGTAAAACAAACCTTTAAAAATTTTGTTGCAACGAACCTACGGCAAGAAAATAAATCATAATTGCATGTAACTCATTTCAGCATGACCATCGCTCATTGACTGCAATATATTAATAAAACACACAAAATCATATATTTAAAAAATGCTAAATAAATGTGAGTCATTTATATTTAGGTACCAGTACTCAATTTAACAGCAAAAAGACTCGCATTGAGAAAAGCATAGTCAAAGTACAAAAGGATTACATTCATTCACAATATTAGTCCTTTTAATAGATACAACACATGGTAGCCTTTATGTTGTTCAAATCATTTACTTTCAAAAACAAAGTGCTCGTAACAAACATGATTTCCACAGGCCAACAGAACAAAAAAAAGTCCATTAAAATCCTCATAGCAGTAGTGTTGTGTTAAAATGCAATGCTTAACATTTACAGTACAGAGGCTTTTTATTCGGGCCACTAAATGGAAAACAACAGCAACTACTACTGTAAATCACATTAGTGGTGCAAGTTGTGACATGTTTCATGAAGCTACATTCAGCAGGTCAACTAATGCTTCCTGACGTCTTGGCACCAAAATATCCTGATTCTGTGAGACCAGTTAGGAGCATTGTATATTCACAGTGGTCTTGGTCCTCATATCCCCAAACCAAGGTTAAAAAATTCAAGTTGTGAACTTGATGTAAAAATTAATGGAAATTCACGAGGGGAAGAGAAATGTACTAATATAAAGGTTTCTCTTACTACAGAACTTAAATATAGTTTTCTATTTGAGCAAATCCAAACAACTCAATTTCATACAGGTATTGAAAAAAATTTACAGTAAATAATTGCTTCTTGGTTATTTACGGTGTATGTGGACTTCACATACGCAGCTGCTCAATTGAATTTGTAAGGATGTTTGCCGATGGAAAAAACATGTTGACATTTGTGATTATTATGTAATTTTCAGGATTTAAAGCAATCTCCATCTTTTAACTTCCAATGGAAATTTCCTATGAATGTTCCTGCCTTTTGCAACCCTGACACAAACACACACACACACGCAAAAACATAGGCAGGCACATCTGGTGTGAGCAACTCGGCCTGAGGTTGTAGTCAAAAATGTTCTTATTCCGAGTCTGAATCGTGGTCCAGCTCCATCTCTATGTCTATCCAGGACTGGCGCTTGGCGCTGGGGAAGTCCTTACCCAGGGAGCCTCGCGTGCGTGGCCGTGACGCCCCACCACCAACAGTGTATTCGGGGCTTGCAAAGGGCTCGCTTTTGCGGGGCCGGCCTCTCCTACGTTTCATTGGTTGGTTGCTACAATTGTTTGGAATGAATGTTTCATCCTCATCTGGTTTTTCTTTCCTTTTCAGGATCCTTTCTCCCTTTCGAGGTCTTCCTCTTGGCCGACGTGTGGCAGATGCGCTCAAATTAGACTGCCGTGGCACCTGCTTCCCAGGAGCTGCTGTCGACACGCTTTGAAGACCATTGGTGGGGATCGCCTTCTGTTCAGGACTATACTGGTTTATGGGTTTCGCTGCATCGGGAGGTGACGCGAGGTCCAGGGGGATGGTCGAGTCGGTGCTTGAAGACTGGGTAGTAACGTCTGCATCCTGGTTGGGGTTCATGAGCATGAGCGTGTAGATGCCTTGGCCTGCTAAGACAATACATAAACGCGTAATTGGAACTGTTCATAATTCATACTATAGTGATATTTGGACCCCCCGCCCCCCCACAATAGGTGAAAAAAACAACATGCACAAGAGATGATAATAAGAAAACCAAGTCAACAGTTTTAGCCCTTCCGCATCACACACGTCTTAAACACATTGTAATTGTAAATGCATTTTTTGCAAGCATAAACTATAGAGGGAAAAAATGTTCAGTATTGAAAAGTTTGTCGTTTTCTCTGCTTTCTGGTCAGAAACAGGTGATTTTGTGAAACCAACCCATGTTCTACTGCTAACTATGAAAGAGCAGAAAAGGCCAGGGGAAATAAACTACTCAAAGATTCAAATCTTACTTTTGATCGATTTGGCACTTATGACATAACAATATTAAGTAGGTTTTAAAATCAGTCAAAATGCACTGTAAAGCCATTAACAATTTAAAATGTATACATTACTGACATGCACATATTACATATATGTCATAGGCTATGAACAGAAATGCATGGGTGGTCCTGGACATGTGCGAACTTACCAGGTTTCATCGACGAAGGCAGGATGAGTCTGCCTGTCTTGGAGCGAATCAGAGGGATGGTAAATTGTTGTGCATGTTGGGTCAACACCTCCTTGGCGGGTGAAGCTGACACAGCAGGGGCTGCAGCATCGTTGGGCTTTGGAGCAGGTGGAACAAGCTTTTGGGGTGTGGGAGGCGGAAGTGATGGGCCTTCAGATTTCCGTTCTGGAACTTCGGACAGCGGGGGCGGCGTGAGTGGAAGGAGTTGGGGGGATGGCTTTGGTGGTGGTGATGGAAGTAGTAGAGTGGTTGGGACTGGGGGTGGTGGACTGGTGGCGTCTTTGGCATGCTCCTTTTTGGATTGGTACAGACGCATGAAGAAAGGCTCTGCTTTGGAGCCACCTTTGTCCTTCAAGCGACTGAAGATCATGTCCAAATTGCCTTTGATCAGTTCCTCAGGCTTCCCTATTATCCCCCAAAAATCCAAGAACACAGAAGACTTCAGTTTGATTGATCTTTTCTTTTTCTTTTTAAACTGTGACCTAACAAAAGGGGAAACACACACCAGTCAAGCAGGACAATTTCTTCAAGTAAATCGCTTGGATCTGGGCCAGCTTCTTCTTCCTCTCCAGAAGGCCGTCAGAGATGGCCCTCAGCATATGGATTTCCTTTAAAGCCTAAAAACCACACATAACAAGCGGAATATCGATTTTTCACCAAAACACATTCGGTTCGACATTTTCAGCACGCACCATGACAAAAGGAACAGCAATCAACAAAATACAGCCAAAGCATTGAATATGAAACCGGTGAAATACCAACCATTGAGAGAAGGTGTAGTTTGGAACCTCCAGGTTGACCGAGGACATTCTGCAGCTCGTAAAAAAGTGCGCGTTGCTCCAAGCGGCGTTGCTTCTCGGTAACAGAATGGTTCCTGCGCCTCCTTGTTCTGGGGTTTTCCAATTTGCCCGTGCACAATTCGGGTGATTTACTCTGGGCCACTTCCTTCAGTCTTGCAATGGCCAGTTCCTGTTTGGACTCCTCGATGGTCTCGATGTCTACAGTGGAGTCCACCTGGAGACAACAACAAAAAAAAAAAAAAAATGATGGAAGGTGGAGCACTCTGTTTTCATGTCATAGCCTTGATATAATCCTCAATTTTTATACCATGCTCGACCCACAATTGCCAATTTTCGAGCATAAAAGGTTTTACTCACATCACTGTCATGGTCTGCGCTGTCGTCAGACAAACTGGATTCACAGTCTTCTGAAGAACAAATCGGTTGCTCGTCCTTCGTTCCCTGGGTTCCGTTAATGGCCACCGGCACACCCTTATTAGTTGTCCCCTGCTGAGCTACTACATTTGTGGGGTCGTTCGGCTTGTCTGATTTGGGTAAGCGAATGAGGGTAAAGCCCCCCGGCAGGGTGACGCTGGGACAGTTTTTGTCCTTCTTGCTCGGGTTACACGGTGGGCAGATTCTGAAGGAATAGGTGCCGCTCTGGCTCAAGAAGCTGGGTGTCTTCAGTGAAGGTGACACTGTGAGTGAGACGGTCGAGCGGGATGACCGCTGGAAAGGGTTGATGGCAGCGAGAGGGGCAAGCTGCCTCCCCATTGGACTTTCAGGGTCTTTTTTCACACACTGTTGCTTTAACAATGGAACTGGGGAAACAAAAGTTAAGAATCATGAAAACAAATTTAAGTCAATATGGTAATTTGCATTTGTTGGCGTCATTTGTTCTTTCCATTTTCAAATGCCAATCAAAGTGTAATGATACATATTTTTTTAAAATCCAACAAAAGCCAGATTTTCAAAAATATACCAATTAATGTTTCAATATATTTTTGCCCGTTGTTCTCTCTAACAACGGGCAATATATACAGCTAACATATCTTAATGCGTGTTATGAAAAACCTCTGGGTCAGATAAACCTGACCAATTAAATATTACAATTGTGTGAGCATTTTTTTATCTTAAAAAAAAATCCTAATGAGATTCTTCCATTTTCTTGACTGCCAACTGAAAATGGACTGAACAAATACACAGATTTTTCAGAAATAAAATGATCATACTAAGCGGATGGGTCTGAACATCAGTACTGTCCTTCGCTGGCATCGCTATGGGCATCAGTCTGCCAGTAGCCTTCAAGTTCTGAATGGCGGGTTTTGCATTCAAGTTTTGATTGTCAGGTTTTGCCCCAACTTTGTGCACAGCAGTGATGGGGGCATGGTCCACCTTGCGAGTTAGGTCGGAGCGCCGCTGCAGCCTACCTGTGGCGTATGCCGCAAGCCGGTTGGCTGGGTGCAGTGACCCCATGCTGCCTAGCAGCAGGTTAACATAGCTGTAGGA